TTTTTGCATTATTTTGTTGACAGTTCACAGAAAATGTTCATAAGTTATTTTGATGTTCTTTTTGGCTCAGTAATGATGTCTGTATGCACTACATGTTTTCTGAAAATTAATATAAATTTGTAAAACTGTCAAAAGGTGATGGATTGTTGAAATGGCTTACTGCAGCTGGTAAATTTATCAGCATAAATCTTGCCAATTTTATAACAGGACATCATTCAGAGCTAAAGCACTGGATTTCCAACTGAGTGGCTTCCTTGCTTTGCTCGTGTAAAACTACTCATAAATTTTGCTACTCAGTGGGTGTGAGTACAGTAACTTCCGGCTGCTGTGACGTCATGCACATACCCTTTGCAGTACGAGGAGCGTAAGATAAGACGTGACAATCTGGGAGTATTTTACACTTTTAACAGAAACCAGTAGCACAGCAATTTTCAATCTTTGTAAAATAAAGTTTTGAGAGCTGGGAATAGCATTTAATGGACAATCCCACTTAACAAAGCGCACGCAACTGTGACAGACAAAAAAAAGCAACTTAAAAAAGTAACTTGGACTGTTTTGCAACAAAGTGTAACTGAGCTGACGCCAATGGAAGAAAAATTGTGTTAAAATTTTAACCATTCACCACTTGTGTATAATTGCTTTGAAGATATTCATATTGAACTGCAAAAGCCTCAGAAACGCTTAAAACAAAACGTACAAACGAGGTGGAACAGTACGTTATGTATGTTTGTAGTACTATAGTAGCCTAATTAAATATTTTTTTGTCATACATTTTTTCCATCTGTATTTACTAGCTTAAAAAATAATACATAAAGTATAACAAGATAAAAAGTGCTCTTGTATCGGAATCTATATCAGTATCGGCAATTGTGTATCGGAATCAGATCGGAACTGAAAAAATGTGGATCGGCTCATCCCTACTTCCACCTGCTTAGCCAGTCCAGGATCACAGTGAGCCTGGAGCCTTTTGCTGGACATGCAAGGCAGGGAAACAACCTGGAAAAGATTACAAGACATACAGTTTGGAAGTGTTAATTCACTAAGCCGCACATTTTTGGTGTATGGGATTAATCCGAGTCCCCGGGGGAAATGCACACAACACATGGAGATCATGCAAACTCCACATACACAGCTGGGGTGGGATTTGAACCCCTTGCTTGGGAGACATGAGTGAATAGAGTGACGAATCACACTTCTCCATCTAGCAATCTGATGGACAGGTTCGGGTTTGGTGGATGCCAAGAGAACATTACCTGCCTGACCGTGTTGTGCCAAATGTAAAGTTTGTTGAAAGAGGGATAATGGTATGGGTTGTTTTTCAGGGGTTGGGCTAGGCCCCTTAGTTCCAGCTTCAGCATACCAAGACATTTTGGACAATTTTATGCATCTATCTTTGTGAGAACAATTTGGCAAGGCCCTTTTCTGTTCTAGTGTGACTGTGCCCTAGTGCACAAAACAGGGTCCATCAAGACATTGTTGGGTAAGTTTGGTGAGGAAGAATTTGATTGGCCTGCATAGAACCCTAGCCTCAACCCCATCAAACACCTTTGGGATGAACTAGAACTGAGATTGTGAGCCAGACCTTCACACTCAACATCAGTTCCTGACCTCACAAATGCTCTTCTGGATGAATGGGCAAAAATTCCCAAAGACACACTCCAAAATCTAGTGGAAAGCCTAAAGCCCATTGCAGAAAGCATAAGGCAGGGGACAGTACAAAGTCTGCAATATAATGTATGTGGAAGGTACTTTCAGGACTACAAAAATGAGTACAGTGAAACTTTGAAGTATTGCAAACTACAAAGCAGACATGAATCTAAGTCCCATATGCACAAGTCACAAGTAAGTCACAAATCCTAACCATCAAGTCTCAATTCATGCTTCCTAGAATTAAGCAAGTCAAGTCATGGTGGATCCTTAAATAATTTCACCCTCACTAACTAAAATAAATGTAATAGTAATTAATTGAATAATTATTTAATACTTTATTAGTTATTCATTTAATACTAATTATTTTAATGTGTATTAATATTTGCATCTCCTTAAGAGTTCCTGTAATAATTCAGGTAAGCAGAAATAAAATATTGTGGTGTTTTTATTTTGGAATAGACATATTTGCCATTGCATTTTAACAGCTTTCAGCAATTCACACCTAAATCAATTCTAATAAAAATATAGACTGAAAAATGTTTTAAATCACACACTGTATTTTTAAAGTGATTTTTTCCTTGGTTAGCCCGTGAATAATATGACATACTCCAAACACGCCCATGCTTGACATACACATTTCTGATTGCTTCCCCTTTCTAAGGCATCCCCTCTAGTTCCACCCAGAGGTTAGCTGTCTGCCCAATGCTAGCCCATGACTCCTTGATTTTGCATAGCAATATTTTTGTAACCCATAATTATTTTTGCTATTTTCTGTTAGAATTAGGAGATCAGTGTAGACACACAACAACAAGATGTATCCTCTGCATTTAACCCATACATGACATTGTAACATAGCAGGGGGCAGCTAATTCAGCACCCAGGGAGCAATGCTTGGGGGCAGTATCTTGCTCAGGGTACCTTGCTGGTCAGGCTTTGAACCAGCAATCTTTCAATTCCGAGTGCACTTCCCTAACCATTAGGCCACCATTGCCCCTACTGAACTAATCAACTAGTTATCCTTCACGTGATGCCAATGCTAGTTCAGTCATTAAAACCGTCCTGTGTGCCGTGTCTTCCAACTTTGGTCAGAGGATAGTCATCCTAGCAGCTATCACCACCTTCTGCACCAAGGTGGCTATCACCACCTACTTTGGGTCGCCGTACCACAACACCAGGATATAAAAAAAACCACTTTCCTACCTTCAATAAAATTATATTCCCAGCATAAATTGCTCTAAAAACATCCGCAACTGTGAGGAGGGCAGTCTTGGTCAAGTGTCTCCTTAATGGAAGTAACGATTGCCTGCAATGCCAGGAGGACAGCCTTACCACCAGCCTGGAGAAGTTCACTCCAGATACAACAGATCCCTGCGGCCTTCCCTACCCCCAGCTGATTCAACACTCGTGCAATCTCAATCTCAATGAGACTGGGTGGTTCACAGCTGATTGGAGGATCAGCCTCAAGAACTGTGGACCCAGAGATGTCCAATATCCTAGCTAGAGGGTCAGCTTTAAACAACTGCTCAAAGTAGCTGGCCTGGCGGTCACAACTGCAGTGTCATCCATAAGGACCGTCCCATCACCCGCCCTGACTGCAAATCTCCAAGGAACAGATTCAGATGTACGTAATGCTTTGACTCCTCTGTAAGCAGGACATGGGTTACTAGACCACAGATAATGTGTCACCTGCTCACAGATTCTAAGAAACGCCTCCTTATCTGCCCTCAGAGCCCTCACAGCCATACTTCTCAGTTCCTGGTACAGACTGGAGTTGCCACCAAGTCATGCACTACGACTCCTCCCAATAATATCCAGGGTGACACCGGTAACACCAACACAACCCTCAGCAACCTTCAGGATCTTGATACAGCAGGTCTCCCACATTACATTAGTCGATCTTGGAGTCTTGCCAAGTCAAGCTTCATTAATTCCTAGTAGGTGGTAGCCTACTGGATCTAAGCTGAATCTTCAGAGTAGCAAAAACAAGTCTGTGGTCAGAATTCACTTCTGTAGATCGTGCAGTTCTGCAGGAGCCTCCAGTATCTGTCTATAAGGATGTGATCGATCTCCTTCTCAGCACCACCAGTACTGGAACAAGAAGTCCAATGATGCAGCTCAGGACGTTGGAACCAGGATCAAGCGACACGCAGCCCCTGACCTTTTGCAAAGTCAAGGAACATGGAGCCAGTTTCACCCTGGTCACCAGACACATGGGGACCGGCACAATCCTCATAGCCCACCCAGTCAGTTCCAGCGGTTGCACTGAAGTCATCCGTTACCAGGGGAGTATCACCTCGTGGGCACCCATCAACCACTTGGTGAAGTTGCAAGTAAAATATCTCCCTCAACAAGACATCACTCACCATGGTCAGAGCATACACTAAGACAACAGACAAGACACCGAAGGAGTGCCTTAGCCTGACTCTCATAATACGCTCGTTGAAAGGAATGACGAGACACCATCATGAGGAGTCGATCCGCCACAGCAACAGCTACTCCTTGCGTATGGCAGCCATCTGAGCAACCAGACCAAAAGTAGGGATACCCACCTGCAGAGATCCGGCCATTCTCTGGTCTGTGTACCTCAGAGTGCTGCCATCGAAATGCGGAGTTTACGAAGCTCCCCCGGCACCAGAGGAAGATTGTCATCTTGCCAGAGAGACAAGACGTTCCATGCTCCAACCCGAATGGGTTGCCTCACACTAGGACACAAGTGCCGCCATGCAGTGGATAACACCTCAGCAACACACCAGCTCCAATCCCTAACAGGCCTGACCCTATTAGCTCTCCAATGGTTTCTGCATGCAGTCTGATTATCAGCAGGAACAGGGGTGATGATGATTGTAAATAATTAATACTATCATCTTAACTCTCTATGGACCCCATAAAGTCTTGGTGTTGACTCGGACTCTACCCTTCAAAGTCTTGGCTTTGAATTGGACTCAATATAGGTGGTCTCATCCCCATCTCTATAAATCACATCCTTATACACATTAAACTGACATCATACATAGGGTTAACAAAGAAAGGTATCTGAAGAAAAAATGTGGCACCTGTACATTCAAAGTCAAAATCAAGGCACAGAGCCAGATACAGCATGATATGTAACTAGGAGGCTAACCTTGCTGTGAAAAAGTGCAACAACATATTTCCTAATATGTGTTTCAAATAGGAGTCTTTACAACAACGTATGAAGTATTTTGGCTTGATAAGCCTTCTCCCTTTTGCCCCACCAGCTTGACCTTGTTAAATGGTGCATTGAATTCTGCCAAAAGATGGCTACATTATCATTTTACACACATTTATATAATACATTGTGTAACGGATTAATGGTAACAGAAACATTCATGTAACATTTTGCAATTGAACAAGTTTATTATTTATTCATTGTTCATTTTCCTTCCCATACTAGTTTTAACCTCCCATAACCACAGGTCAGTCAACTGTTGTACATTGAATTCTAAAGAAATTATATCAAGTGTGATACAAATGTGGATATTGTGTAATGAATGTAAATTGTCTTGTGCTTTTGAGTCACAAACAGTGGTCTGGTGAAGCACGTACGGTTTCTTCTTCATCTGAGAGAAGTCAGTGAGCTAAAGATAAAGTATATGGGTTTGAGATATGAGAATGTGGCGTGCAACAGGAGTATTCAGGCCCTAAAGTTGGATTGCTATTGACTTATGTTTGACAAGTGAAACAGTAGAACAATAATAGTGTAGAATTCTATTTTAACAGGTACCACCATAGGCGTTCAAAGGTATGAAAAATTAGTCTGTAGAGAAAGCTCTGGAACATATTTAACCAGTTAATATGTGGGATAACACAAGGCACATAACAGAGTTTTCCTTTAAAATTTAGCAGAAGATTAATCTCTATTATGGAAAATATTTACATACTTTTAAAATATTACCATGTATTATTTGGATATAGTATATCAAAAAGAAATATCCATAACAGACATCAGGAGTCCAGCCGGGATGGGTAATTGACAAAACAGCGGAACTCGTTGGCCAGATTCCGGTTGTGTTTAGGTAGAAAACTACAGACTTTGACACCCAGCAACTTTGCTGCATCGTCCTCCATGATGGCTCCTGAAACAGTGCAGACACACAGAGGTTATCCTGTATGGTCTTCCCACATAGTATACTGTTTATCCCAAAAATTTAACATGGCAGATATACATTTAATGTGTTCCAGTTGCTAACAATTTCATTCTTTGATGTTTAACCAAATTATATAGTTCACAGAGTATGCCTCATTGCTATATTTCATCATTATATGATACAGTAATACCCTGCAGAAAATGATGCTATTGCAATTAAAGAGTGGCACACCTGCTCCCTCTTGTGGCAATATTTAAAAATGTCACTATCATAGCAGTTGTCACACAATCATTTATATAATAGTCCATAAATACAATGGATTGGCATCACAAACAGGGAGCCCCCTGTGTCGTACCCTATCTTCCTAAATTTGGCTAAAGATCACCAATAGCTTGCATTGGACGAGTATGAATGGCAATATAAAATTCATGTAATACGTTATGAATAGCTTAAGACTCTGATTTAATTTGGGTGTATTGTTGCAGATGCGTGCTGGATACCAACATAATGAGTTTTGTTTTGGATAACATAGGGTTGAGAGCATTAATACTCCGGCAATCAGAGAACTGGGTGCTGGTGGTGAGCTTTGCCCACTGGGAGAGAACACGGGCGGATTGATCATCAGGTTTAATAAGTAATGCTAGTCTTGTATCTTTGGGCTGTTCACCAGTGGCCTGTACTACGAAGGGGGTTTAACCAAATCAGACTTAACCCCGAGGTAATTTGCTAACGCAAGGTTGACAATCATCAACATCAGGTTGTCTCCATCGGGGCTAATCAGTACTACGACGCCAGTTAAGAAGTTGATTTGTTAAAACGGTGTTAACTGCATTGGAGTTTGTGCGCGTTCACATATATGGAGCATGTTCGGCAACGCAAAGCACTGTTTGACTCGTAGCGCGATCTCCATATGTTTCACGGAGGAAGACTGCATGCTAATAATGCAGGGTTATGAGGAGTTTAAATCAACACTGTAAAGAAAGTCCAATACCACTGCAGCCAACAAAAGCAGGCAGGTTTGTTGGCAACGTATTGACGACAGAGAAAATGCATACATACATTTTCACGGTCATAAAACGTGGTCTAAAATATCTCACGGCCGAGTATTAGACAATGAAGTACGTGTTTTCTGAAAAGAATTGAAATACTGTAAATAATTACAGAGGCGAATACATGCGACACAATTCAGAAGTTACCTATTATATGCTTCTAAGTAATGTAATGCTCCCTGAAGTTCCATTACTGTAATGTTACTCATAATGTAAACCTAATAACAATAACTGATCCGATTTCAAATGCAATAATAAAGCGTACGTGGCAGCAAGTCAAAATGAAATATAAAACATAATGTCAAGTGGTAGGGCTATGTATTTATAATTCTACTCATTATGAAAGATTTGTTGTGTCTATAGCATCCACTTAATAGCGTGTTTCTATGTTTTACAGCTTATAATAAAAAGGTGTCTGTTCATATGACACTTAATAGAAGGTGAGCCACAGTTTAACAAACAATTAAATGATTTACCACAGGACAAAGCAGAAGCAAATGTGTAGTGAGAAAACGACTAGGAACCTGTCACCGCGGTTAAGTTAGCCACATATTCCATATTCAGATTTCTGGCTTTAATATCTTTACGCAAGTGGGCGTTTTTTATGACAGAATTGTGATGTCCAGTACCCAGACATCGATGCACACCGATTCTTTTTCCGCTTCAAAACATTTTGTGATTTGTGCAAAATCATGTTAATAGCTAATAGCCTATAATATAGGTCCTTTTAGCTGTAATGACATGGTGGTTTAGTATTTTGGGCTCATGGCGACTGTTGCACACCCCTTTGTTTCCCAGATTGCTTTACATGCGAATTTTAATTATATTTTGAATGTTCGAATGTATCCGTATACTGTGCAGTCGACAATACATGAATGGATTAATAACTTTAAAACTAGACAAGACAGGCACATCTAGTGAAGTGTGCTTTGATCAGTGGACAACAGGGAACAATGCACACCCCTTGGGTTTTCAGAATAACTTTCTCTGTAACAGTTATTAATTAATACATTGTATGCATATTATATGCCATTGCTCCATTTAATACATATTAACAGAGAGAGCCCCTCACGATTCACGCGTCAATGTCGTACGGATCATCCAGGTACACCGGCATTGTCTTCGGAGAAATTGTAGCGGGAGGGGCGGTGCTCATATAGGGCTGGCTTACGCGGAAACCTCGACTTAACCGAGAACAAAAACTGCTCGGAGCAGTTTTGAGACTTAGCGTAAATTGCCATAGCAACATGTCTCAACTAAAACCTATCCACCTTTCGTAGTACGGGTTAATCGCGAAGTTACACCACACGTCATCAAGTTACTCGCAAAGTTACCTCGATAAGCCAGTTACCCCGCTTCGTAGTACAGGCCCCAGGGCTCCCCCTCATGTCATCACTGAGGGAACCATTTTAACAGGCGGTGCAAAAAAGCAGGTAAAAAAACATTACAAAAAAGAACATTACAGTTATTTACAATAGTTTTAGTATTTCACTACTTTTCTAGCAGCCCGGTACCCTGTGCTACTGAAATGATTTTAATATAAATTAACTGACAACATTTGTTTTTCTGCTGCTCTGGGGGTGGGGGGCAGTCAGCAGAATCTGGTCTAGGGCACCTGGATACCCCAGGCTGGCCCCGCCATTCTCTTCTGCCGTTAGGCAACGTTGTGCTGGTTTGCTTGGCATTAACGTTTGCCTATACTGAAAACTGTCACAATAAATCCTAACAACAGAACAGAAATGTAACTGTAATTTAAATTATCATATTAACTTAAATCCATAAAAGTAACTTCTGGAAAATCTGTCATCATGGGGGCCCTGGCTTTTGGGGGCCCTAGAGGCTGTTGTCTCCAGTGACTGGGGGTAGTGAACCTTGGTTTAGCGTCGCTGATGGAATCTGGATCACATGGAAAAATATTTGAGTACTGCTTGGCCTAGAGTCACCTTACCAGTGAGTTCTACAATCCCAACTCAGGTAGACTGGTTAGATTTCTAACCAGGTGGAAAATATTTCTCCCTGGGAATAGGCAGCTCACCTGTGCATAAGAACACCTTCCCCTTGCTAAGGAACTTGACGGTGAGGGCCACCTTGCTGAGGCACTCCTGGGACAGATATGGTGGGTCTGCAATGACGATATCAAAGCTCTGGCCGTTGATGTGGGCCGGCAAGCACAGGGGGTTGGTGTAATCGTAGAAGATAAACTCATCACCATAGACAGAGAAGCGACTGTCGTACTCCAGAAGCACCACAGATGCATCCACAGCCTGTTGCTTCAGTTTTTGGTAAACGCTGGGGGTACTCAGGCAAGCTATTCTGTCACAGGATTCAGTTGAAAGAGAAAATGAGATGGAGAAATACTTTCAATTTTAGCCTGCTGTGTGTCAAATGTGACTAACCGTTTAAATCCAAAGCTCTTCAAGCTGTGGAAACCTAGCATTGTTTTTGCAAATTTTATTCCCGGTATATAACAGAACACGCCATGGCAAGCAGTATACAACATATACAAATACCAGGATATAGCATATCAGACAGCATGAAGAACTGAGCCACTACACACCTGCCTCCTTTGCCTGCTTCATGTGCGAGTTCCTCGGCCAGCCGTTCCGCAGTCTCGTCGCTGTACCAAAACTGACTCATGCGCTATAAGTCAATAGAGAATTCAATTGAAGTTCTTATTCACTGACTTGAATTTCTAGAAAACAAAACAGCTACAACCTCTATGTAATAGTACCTCTTTGCTTTTAAACGTGAATAGAAACGGAGCAATCACGAACCTGTCTTCATCTACGTCGGTTTAAGGTAACACTGCACGTGTCATTTCTCCTGAGATCGCGACACAGTATTGGTAATCCTTAGCTCCTTACCCAGTCCTCCTGCACCGCTCCGACCGAAAATTTGTCTACCGGTGCGGCTTCTTCGGAGGGGTCGCACTGCTGCTCGGCGTAAAACTCCCGCAGCGTTGCGAGGGTAGCCGCGGACAACCGGGGTATGTCATCGTCACTGTCGCTCATGGCAGGACGTCGATTTTCTGCCAGGAAAATTGTGGGATTCTGTGCCGACAATGAAGATTCAGAACAGACACACGTCCTAAACAGCAGCAGCCATATTTACACCGAATAACATACTACGGATGTTGAGAAGGGCCAAACAAGCTGCTGTTTGCTCGCGTACCGTGAAGGCGAAGAGCGTGACTTTGGTGATAGTTACACTCCGTTTAAGAGTATTAGGCAAGTACTATTCCAGGAAATAATATTTAGCTAAATTTAGTCAGTAGTTTTCTTTGGCTCGAGAAAATGTTACATTAGTTTGTAACACAAAAAAAAGAAAAACACTTGATCAGTGTGCACAATTATTAAGCAATCAGTGGATTTGCCTCCCTTCGCCACCAATATAAATAATAATAATAATAATAATAATAATAATAATAATAATAATAATAATAATAAAAGATTTGGTTATTCAATCTATATAAGGAATAACAAACTATCTACTGTCCATACAGTACACTTTGCCAAGTTTAATGTTTAGTATAGCCGCCTTTCTTCTCAATGATCATCATAAGAACATAAGAAAAGGAGGCCATTCAGCCCATCAAGCTCGTTTGGGGAGAACTCAACTAATAACTCGTAGTTGTTAAAATCTTATCTAGCTCTGATTTAAAGGAGCCCAAGGTTTTAGCTTGCACTACACTAACAGGAAGACTATCCCATACTCTAACTACACGCTGTGTAAAGAAGTGCTTCCTCAAATTCATTTTAAAATGTTCTCCCGCTACTTTCCACTTATGGCCACGAGTTCTAGTATTTAAACTAGTATTTAAACTTTGACCAAACCTGCACACAATATTCAAGGTGGGGTCTTACAAAGGAATTGTATAATCTTGGCATCACCTTCCTTGACTTAACTCCATGTACTTGCCATACTATTGAAAAGGCCCACATGGCTAGTAAATATGGCTAATAAATGCCCTTCATTCATCAGAGGTGAGTGAGGTGTGCACACACCTAGAGGTGTAACCCAACATCCTATTGGCCTTTTTTATTGCTTCACCACACTGGTGAGAGTGGGACCTGGAAGGATCAACATACACACCAATATAGAAAGCCGTTTGAGCATTTATTCTGATATCAGTGATATCAAGCCCGCTTTGCTCTACTACTGTAGTTCGGACTTTGGCCGTACTAGTAAGACATCCTAGTGCACTAGTACGCGACTAGGTCATACCAGTACTGCAAAAATGCTTACTAGTCAAGCTTTTTCATCAACTTGTTAATGTGTGGGCCTGAAATTTGCTACACTAGTTAACTAGTAAGGCTTAAAATGCTCACTAGTAGCATTAGTATAGGCCAAAATGTCCACTAGTGGCACTAGTAAAGGCAAAAATCTCCACTAGTGACACTAGTAAAGGCCAAAATATCCACTAGTTGCACTAGTGAGGATGTTTTGACCTCACTAGTGTGACTAGTAAGGGGCAATTATCCACTAGTGACACTAGTGAGTCTATTTGCCTTTACTAGTTACACTAGTGAAGGACAAAACGAACACTAGATAACTAGTTGAAGTGTCTTTTGCCCTACTAGTTACACTAGTGAGGCTAAAAGTGTTTACTAGTAGTACTAGTAAAAGCCAAAATGCTCACTAGTAGTACTACTTGCACAAAATTCTAA